GTAGAGCTGGAAGCTGAGAACTGGCGACTTTCTAGTACAACTTTAGTTCGCGGAGCAATCTGTAGAGCTGGAAGCTGAGAACTGGCGACTTTGAGTTCTTCCATATCTAGAGTTCTTCTAGGGGGTCAGTCTAGAGTTCTTCCACATCCTGATGTCCCAAACAGACTGGCTCTGTGAAACCGCAACGTGGCCAAGGAAAGGCTACGAGACCTTAAAGCCTTTCCCTGGCCACGCTGCGGTTTCACAGAGCTGGTCTATGTGAGACGTCGAGATGTACAAGGACTCCACACGTGGGTCACTTCAGTGAGTACCTGCTTCACTTGCTGACTTCAGTGCATACTTTGTAACTACATTTGCTCCGACGCGCGGTGCTGTGACCCGCGTCATGTCGCCACTTTCGTAGCTACAGAACCGACCCAACCGCCCGTTGTTCCACCTCGTCCAGCCGGAGCTACTGGGTCACCCGATCCTTGCTTCCCACTTCGCGTGCTCGCAGGAACTGCACTTAACTTTCATTTGCAGATGCCCAGTTGGTTCAACACGCCGTTGTGGGCTGCTGATCTTGTCGTGGCAAAGATACAACCCAGTACGCTGTTGTGAGCTGCTGATCCTGCAGGGGGCACACACCTTACACACGTGGAATCCCGTGGGTCAAAAGTCCGGAGCGCGTGCGTTTGACTGGAGGACGCGCATGTTGGAGAGAACGTGGACACTCCTATAGGTCAATTTCTTCTTATAGGAAACTTCCGCCGCCGGCTTGCCTGGGAACTACTTGTAGAAATAGTAGTAGTTAGTAGTTAGTCGTAGTAGTAGTAGGTAGCAGTTAGCAGTTAGTAGTTAGTAGTTAGTAGTAAGTAGTGGTAGCAGTAGTAGTAGAAGTAGTAGTAGGTAGGTAGGTAGGTAGGTAGGTAGGCAGGGAGGTAGGTAGGTAGGTAGGTAGGTAGGTAGGTAGGTAGGTAGTATGTAGTAGTATGTAGTAGTATGTAGTAGTATGTAGTAGTAT